AAAGAAGGCACATGTCCCAAGAATGGAAAAACAAGCACCACATATACTCACCGGCAAACTGGTATTAACTGAGCAGCACCTAAGTGGACACATAGGTGCTACAGTAATAGGGTATTGGGCAGGTGGGAGGGGGGAGGGGTGGGTATATACATACATAATGAGTGAGATGTGCACCATCTGGGGGATGGTCATGCTGGAGACTCAGACTTGTGGGGGGAGGGGGGTAATGGGCATTTATTGAAACCTTAAAATCTGTACCCCCATAATATGCCGAAATAAAAAATAAATAAATTTTTAAAAAAATCATATAGAAAAAGAAGAAGGCACGTGTCGAGTCATCCTCTTCCCAAAGACGGACGTCAGCCTTACACTAGAGCCAATGAAATCAAACCGTTCCCTGACTATGATTTCAACAGCAGCAACGGCGAAGTGCGCATCCCATCAAGAAGTCTCATCAGAAAGGTCAGCTTTCACCCACTGACTGTAGCTCTGTCCTACACCACAGGAACGAGAATTCTGGCTAATTTTCTAACTGCCACCTGGTTGCTCTTTCCAGCTGGGTGACGTGCATTGAGCCACGGCAAGTGTGGGGATGAAGGGCTGGGCCCCCCAATGCTGCCTAGGGTGCAATCCCAGCTCCTCCACCCCTCCACTAGCTGGGTGTCCTAAGGCAAGTGGCTTCACTCCTCTGAGCCTCAGGCTCCTGATCTGTGAAATGGGAGTAAGACTCCAAGAGGGGATATAGAGCGAGAGTGTGTCACTACCACCAACCAAAAGGAAACACTTGGAGTATTGCTGTTGCTGCTACTATTGTGACTATTGTGGGGGCTGTGTCCCCACCCTTGGAACAAGAAGTAGGTTATTCTGCCAAGGGCCTATGTTCAGTCCCAGGGGCATTCAAACCCCTCGGCCCTCTTCCAGGTGTTTTATATCTCCCCCTCCCTCCACCCAGGGTTGGGGGCAGCACCCGGTGGTCACCTCTTTCACAAACCCTGTGGGCACCGTGCACTAACTGTCCAGTCACTCCTCTTCCTCCCACTAACCTGGAAGCTCCCTGGGGCTGCAACCTACAGCCAGTCCAGGCCCAGCAGGCGGCAGCAGGCCTTTGATGACTGTGGAGCTCGTTTTTATGCAACATGCACAGAAAACCAAACATACCCTAGATCACCTCTGCCCAGCAGAGAATGGCAGGCCTCTCGTTTTAGGTAGGCGGGTCAGATACAACAGCCAGGTCACCAAGGTCACCCAGCCCAGGGCAGGGTTCCAGGCTCCAAGCCCTTCACTCAGTCTGCACGCATTCTTTCAACAGGTTCATTCTCCCAGAGCCCAGGGGAAGGGCAGGGGGCCCCAAGGTGAAAAAAGACAGGCCTGTGTTTGAAGCTCCCCTCCCCTCCCCAGTCTGTGCAGACAGAGGGTCAGGAAATTTGCTAGAGGTCACCTGGATGAAGGAAGATCCTAAACATTCCCTCCCTGGGCCTTAAGTTGACAAGCGGGAGACTGGAATTCCAGACAAACGAGAGGTCAGGAGCTGGCATCCAATCGGGAGGCACATCCTTCTTTCTGAGTAGGAGGCACACGCTTGAGCCCCCGCACCCACTCCCAAACTGAGCCCCACTCTGGAAAAGGCCCCACTGCTCACCCTGCCCGCCAGGGACACCAGACCTCTACTACATATTTGGAAACAGAGCAAGTATTGCTAAAGAACTGTTGTCCCATAAAAGTCCATTTTTAGGAGGCTTTTCCTGTACATTGGTCAAGTCCTGCCATGTTTGTCTTACTTTCACGCTTTTTCCTCTGTGTTTTTCCTCATCGCTGACAAGATATAAAATGCAGTGCCGTCAGGATGCCTCTGGGCTCCTCGGGCAGCTCTGCTCACACCCGACCTCAGCCCTTTGGTGGTCCAGCCTCCTGGATAGCCCCCAGGCCTGGACCAAATCACCTGCACAGGGCTCCCCGCCCCAAATGCCAGCATGGGGCCGGGCACACAACCCAAAGCACCTTCTGAATTTAAAAAAAAAAAAAAATGCATGAATGGCAATCTCCTGGAAACTTACCCAGTGGTTCTGTGAATCATAGACACCCCCTCACCACGCCCCACCATGGGACCTAATTTGCTAAAAGCAGGCAAGTGCTTTCCACAGTGCCCACCGGGATTGCCTTTACAGGCAAAGCCACCTTATCCACAGAATTCCTTTGACACCTGGATCCCAGTCTCCATCCACAGGGGCCCAAAGTAGCACCAGCTTCCCATCCAATTCTTCCTGCTCGGAAACCAACAAATTCCTCAGCATGATGACGCAATCTCCAGTCTTTGGAACATTGCTCCCCAGGAGTTTTAACACCCAGGCACCGTTAGAACAGCAAATTCCTATCAACGCAAGGGTCTCCCTCGAGCCCTCTTCTAAGGACACTGACCTCCTTGGGGTAAAAACCCACAGCCATCACCCCACCCCCTGACAGCTGCCACGTGGCAGATTCTCTCCCCTAAATTAACACTGAACCCAGCGCAGTCTCCGCCTCACTCTGCTCCCCACAGGCAAACGAAGGCTCAACCTGGCCAGAGCCACACCTGTCGCCTACAAGTGGTTGTAAACTCCCGGTCTCCAAAAGCAGTTGCCTCCGGGGAGCGGGGCTAGTCACTAATCATGGACTGGACCCAAGCTGAAGCCATTTCCCCAGGCTTAGAACCCTGGTCCCCTCGGCCAAGTCAGGGGTCAAATCCCAGGTAGAGAGCAAACCACCCCCCCCAACGGGGGACTTCCCAAATTGCCTGTCTCCTGAAGCTTAACTTAATTAGTTGATTGGCCTCATTAACGTTCGAACTTGAGTTTCAAACGAAAAAGAGGTCACGCAACTACCCAATTTACTACCTCGGATCTCCAAGCAGAAACCGCTTTATTTTTGGATGTCCTCCGAGGACTCGCAGGACCGTGCTCGCAGCTGCCAGCCCCCAGGCCCCGCGTACTTCTGCCTGAACCCCCACCTGCAGGGTCCAAGCGCCTTCTCGGGGATTGAGCCGTCCCGGGCCCCTTAAAAGCTCGGCGGCGAAAACCCACAGTCACCAGCCCCAGCTTCTCCCCCGCCGGGCGCCCCCAGCCCCACGGAAATGCGGACCTCGCCCGCGCGCCCACCCCGGGGCAGAGTGTCCCCGCGCAGACCCGCCTGGAGGCTGCGAGGTGCTGCTCCGACCCCGCACCCCCAAACCCGGGTGGCGAGGTCCAGCTCCGACCCCACAACCTCCGAACCCCAGCGGCGAGGTCCAGCTCCGACCCCGCACCCCCGAACCTGGGTGGCTAGGTCCACCGCGGCCCCTGCACCTTCTGAACCCCGGCGGCGAGGTCCAGCTCCGACCCCGCACCTCCCGAACCCGGGCGGCTAGGTCCACCGCGGCCCCCGCACCTTCCGAACCCCGGCGGCGAGGTCCAGCTCCCACGCCGCACCCCCGAATCCCGGCAGCAAGGTCCAGCTCCGACCCCGAACCCCCGAACCCCAGCAGAGAGGTCCACCGAGTCCCTCCCCTCACACCGAACCCGAACCCGGGCGGCGAAGCCTGCCGCGGTGGTCGCACCTGCTCGCTCAGTCCGGTAGCCCCAGCCCAGCTGGAGACTGCGCGGTCCGGTCGGCGTCTACGCGAGCGCTCCCCGCGCCCTGCGCGCAGCGCCCGGGCCGCCCGGTGGAGGCGCCCCGGCAGCGGGCTGCGCGGGCGGAGGTGCCCCGCCGCCGCCGGGAGGAGGGATGTCCGGGTGAAAGTTGCCAGGGAAACTTGAGCAACTCCGGCGCGCCGGTGCCAGCCTCCTGCATAATTCACGGGCGGTGGCGGCAGGGCTGCGCCCGCCGGGCCCCCCTACCCCAGCTGGTGGGCACGGCGAGCAGGGGTCGGGCACCCGGCGGGGGCTCCGCGCGACCCCCGGAGACCCGGGCGCCCGACCCGCCACCTCCGGGCCGCACCGGGTGCGCTGGCCCCGGCCTCCCCGAGACAGTGCCGCAGCCGCGCGCGCCTGGATGGGGGCGCGAGGCCACAGTGACCGCAGGGGCTCCCCGGGGACCGAGCGACAGCGGCGCGTGTCCCCGCCTCCCGCGCGCCCCCTGGCGGCCCGGCGCTGGCGGCTCAGCCGGGCTCGCTGGCCCGAGTCCTCGGGCTGCCGGACGGCGACTCGGCGCAAGGAGACCCCGGCGGGGCACGAGACTGGTCCACCTGCGCTGCCCAGGGGAAGGGGCAGAGGCGCTAGAGGTGTCTAGGGTCCTTGCGCGGGGATGACTGGGGTGCTCCTGCGCCCTGTGCCCACGCCGCCTGCAGAGCTTTTAAAACCGGCCCCCGTCCTGGAAGAAAGCTATTGGGGGAGGGGGAAGGTCGTCCTCAGAGGATCGACCCCCACCTGGACCCGCGGATCCCGCTCCTCACCCCGCCCCACCCCCATCCACTATGGGTCCAGGACTGCGCTTACCTGGTAGTTGGTGCTCCCGGAATCCAGACGCACCCAAAATGCCGTCCCGGGACCAGGGTCGGGTGTCCGGGGGGCCACCTACTGTCCCTCCGGGCCCGCAGGGGGTGCCCCAGCCGTCCCCGCCCCGCGCCCGCAGCGCCCCGCGCCCCTCGCCCCCTGCCGCCGCCTCACCTGGTTCGGGCGGCCGCTCGGCGAATCGGGGGCGGGCCCGAGCCCCTGGGGAGCGCCGGCGTCCGCGCGCACCTGGCTGGGCCGCGGGAACCCGAGCGGCGCCGTGCCCAGCCCTGCCCGAGCGCGGGAGCCGCCGCCGCTCAGGTGTGGGGAGGGGGAGGGGCCGGCCCCGCCCCGCGGACCGGCGAGCGTGGGGGAGGGGTTCTCTCGCCGCAGAAGGGGCGCGTGCGGGCAATTCGCCCAGGATCTCTGGGCCCCGCCCGGGTGCGTCGCCCCCAGCGCGCTCGGGCTCGCGGCTGTGACCGTGGCACGGCGTGTGGGGTCTGTTGTAGCAACCCCAGGAGACCGCGGGTGCCCAGGGCCGCCTCCGCCCCGCCCCGCTGCGCGGCTCCCTCCCCCAGCCCCCACCACGTGAAACCCAGTGGACGAGAAAGTCCTTTAATTTGGTAAAGCCTTGTTCATTCTGCACGATTATCCCGAACGCAGCTGGCTCCCACCCCAGAGTATTTTAATAGGATTCGGGAAATACAGTGACCAACTGCACTTCAAAATGTTTGCACAGCAAATGAAAACTTTGTACCTGGGTAATACGCCCACACCTGCTTCCAGGCCTCCAGGGGGCCTTCCACCCCGGGGCGAGCAAAATTGTGTCTCCCCCAGCTGCCCTCCAAGCCCAGGTGAGATTTGGGGGTGGGGGCAAGTGGGGGGCATAAAAGCCAACTGCTCGGGTGAATCCTACAGGCGAAAAGGCACCCTCTGGAGACTGCCAGGAATCCTTTTATTATCTGGGACTGGGGAATTGCTAGGTTTGCCAAAGCCCCAAGGGGCCTGTCCGGAGCACGGGGGCGGGCGGGGGAGGGAAGGAGGCAGGTGCCAGCTCCCAGCTGTGGCTTGGGCGATTTCCTCGTGCCCAATGATGTATGAGCCATCGGCTAGTAACTTTTCTCAAGACCCTAATAATTCACCAGTAATCCCACCACGTACAAACTGTGTGCCTCTGAGTAATCTGCTGAGGTCTCTGTGTCCTGAGTTTTCTGATCCTCTGCGAAAGGAGTGTTTCCTGCCAACAGGATCTGCAGTCTGCAGGGGGTGCACGGAAAGGGGCGGGGAGGTGGGACGGGGGACAAACACCGGTGTCCAGGAGGTGATGTGGGCCAACTGCCTCCAGAACCCTGGAGCCAGACACTAAGCAAACGCCCAATCTGTGTTCCCACCTGCATGAAGAATATACACATACACACACATATATATTTTAAGTCCATCTTATAGGACATGCCTGAGAGATCTGCATGGGCTGATGGCTTCAACATACCAAAGGCAAAGTTAAATATTTGCTCTAGATACTTTTTTTTTTTCTGCTTGCATAATTGTCCCACATTTCAAAGAAATCTTTAAAACCACTTAGGTTAAAAAAAAAAAAGTTGTGTTTGGGGCGTGAATATTTCAGGACACACACAGAGTAAATATTGTAACTCCTTGAGGGCAGCTGCCATATGCAAACTTCTTTCTCTCCTCTGCATCCTTGAGCATGAGACTGGATAAAATATTTTCTGAAGGAATCAAAGAAACAGATAAGAATCCCTGCAACAGGGAGAAAGAAGCCCTGGCAGGACCTGGCGGGCACAGTTTCTTTGACTTGGAAGCCGGGGGTCCTGGGAGGGGTGGCCAGAGAACATCCTGACACCCTGTGGGTTTGCCAGTGGCAGGTCCCAGATGTGAATTACAAGGAGTGAAGGGGGGGTCTCTACCTTCCCATAACTTCTGTCGGTACCCCGCAGCCCAAAGAAAGCATGTCAGCTAAGCTAAAGTGGTGTGTTTGCCCTGCAAACCCAGCTCGAAGACCCATCCCCAAGCTATTACCCTCCTCTGACCAGATTCCTGCCTGCCTAATGCTCCTTCCCTGATTTCTAGAACCATCACTGCAGATAGCAAAGGAGGCAGCCGGGCAGAAGTCAGCTGTGAGCACTTCCCTGCTGTCCTCGAAGAAGGTGTAAGTGCCAGTGCCATTCTGCTGTCTCCAAGAAACCCTTCCCTCGGGACCCAGGCCTCCGCCAGCCTGTCCACCCAAGTGAACACCGCTTAGGCCACCCCCTCCGGTCCCTCTGATCTGTTTGTTGGCCAACAAGAGTGCTCTGTGAGCTCCCCATCAGTTGGCATTTTAAGGACAGTATCCTGCTTATGTCCCAGTTTCTTTGTGTCTGTTTAGAGACATCCAGTTCAGCCTTGTTCTCGGATTAAACAACATCCTTCAAATCTTTAAAGACTTCTTGTCATCCTGATACAAAGAAATTATGGAGGTTCAAGGTGGTGGACATGCTAAGCACCCTGATTTGATCCTTATACATTGTTTACATGTATCAAAATATCGCACTGGGACCCACGGATACATACAATTATTATATATCAATTAAAAATAAAAGCAAACAGAAAGTGCTCTTATGAAAAGGTTTGGGATCAGAAAACTGCAGCTGTGCCTTTATCCACACTTGAATGCCCAGAGAAGGTATTCCAGGTGGGGGGACCTTCTCCCTGGCCCCCCTAAGCAACACGAAGTCGTTGCTTCTCTGAAGCAGGGCTTCTTTCGGCATTCCTCTTTCCGGCGGACCTTACCTGTGCACATCACTGAGCACCTTGTTTTAGTTTCAGTTTAGGGAGAGGAGGCAGAATCCTTTTTGCTTCTTGGATTCAGGACTCCCCTGTTTTTGTTTCTGTGAGCTGCCTTCCCCAGGATCCCCTGGGTTCCCCAGACACGCCTGGTGATGCGAAAGGAGAAGTTCAGTGAGCTTGCAGGAAGAGATGACGCTTCCATCGGACGGTCTTTTCTTTTTTCTTGTAAACCCTGAAGCATGCAGCCGTCAGTCACCACGGACAAGGACGGCCCCCCTGCGCACTCCTGAGCATGCTAGGGCTTTCTGGAAAGAGTAACTATTTTACAGAGAACTAGAAACTGGGACACAGTACACCGTTAGGGATGTGAGACATAACCACCCTTTCTGTCCTGGGGAAAGCATTATAAATATTTCGCAGCTTAGATTAACCCAGATGCTCATTGCGCTGAGCAGCTGTCCCTGTCTGTCTCCCACAGGGAAGCTCCCGGGGTCGGGGCATGTTTGTTGGGGGCCAGCACTTCTTCTGAGCAGGGCGCTGCGTCTGCCCAGGTGGGAGCGAGCTAACCCAACCCCTATCTTACAGGTGGGATGCTGAGGACCCAGGAGAGGGTGCAGCTTGCTCAAGGATGTAAGGTCAGAGCCACAAAAAGGCAGGCCAGCATGCACAGGTGAGGCCAGGTAAGGTTAAGTGTGCACAGGTATAAGTCATTGCTCCGGTCAGCAAGGCTGCCCCAATCCCTCATCCTTGCCAGATTCTCATGTTTTTGCCATTTTTTTCTACTTACTTTCCATTACAGGAAGAGGTCCATGCGCCCCCCCTGCCCCGTGTTCCCTCACACATCAAATATTGGAAAATTCACTCATTTCTCCATGATTTCCTGACAACTACTAGTTCAGTCACATAACCCTGGTGATATAAATAGACCCAGATTTTACAAACCCCCCAACTCCCGTGCAGAAGTGCCTCCCATGTTTCACCTCTGCATCTTAACGTGGACTTTTATTACTCTCTATTAATTTTCCATGAGTTTATTTTCCATGGATTTGTTAGAAAAGCCCCCTGGGACTTTGAACATAAGTGTCAGGGCTGCTAACCGGGAAAGTGGAGGGAGAGTTCATTTTTCTCGGAATCTGAGATGATAAGAGGGGCTGGTCTGCAGCCTTTCCTGCTGGACCAGAGTGGATGTGGGGGGCAGTGGGCAGGAGGGGAGGCAGCGGGGCCTGGGGGCCGCAGGAGGTGCAGGAGGCTGCTTCCCCAGCCCCCTGGAGTGGCGCAGCCTGTAGAGAGGCCAAGGTGAGTGCCCCCAGGGGCAACTGCTAATCCTGGTGGAAGCAGAGCTGGAGGCTGGGAGAGGGAGGTGCCCAGCCTCCACCAGGCAGGTGAGCCATCCTGCTAGGGCACATTCTGCGGTTCTAAGAAGTTCCTTTGGAGCCTCACTTGCTTACAGCAGAGACCTGGACAAAACACCTTTATGTGGGGATTTCCTCCTTCTGGGTCTGCTTTCTCCTCTCTCACTCCCACTTCCTGGGGCCAACTCTCAAGGGCAGCAGCCTCCATCCAAGTCCTTGCTTCTGGCAAAGCTTTTGAAGAAACCCAAAATAATACAGCAGTCCCACGATGCTCAGAACTTTGGGTAGTACTGAATCTTGTATAATAATCCTTAATAATAATTAAAGTTATCCTTAATAACATTAATAATTATTATTAATTAATAATTAAAGTTATCCGTAATAATTATTATTAATTAATAATATTTAAATTATCCTTCATAATAATAAAAAAAATCCTATGTTTTTCCTGGTAACCCAGATGCTACTAACAGGCATGTGACACATGCAGTGTGGACACACTGGACAAAGGTGGGATAGAAAGAGCAGGATGGCCTGAGATGTCATCGCACTCCTCAGAACAGCACACGGTTTAAAATTTAATAATTATTTACTTCTGAAATGTTCCAGTTAATATTTTCATTCCACAAGTGACCCCAGATAACTGAAGCCATATGGAAAGTGAACCCGTGGATGGGGGGAACCACTATAGAAAAAACCATCTTTTGGCCCAATCTGGTGGCTCACACCTGCAATCACAGGACTTTGGGAGGCCAAGGCAGGGAGGATCACTTGAGGCCAGGAGTTCAAGACCAGCCTGGGAAAAACTGTGAGACCCACCCCCATTACTACAAAAAAAAAAAATTTTTTTTTAAATACTAGCCAGGAGTGGTGGTATGCACCTATAGTCCCAGCAACTCCGGAGGCTGAGGCATTATAACCAACTCATACACCCTTGGGCTTTGTTTGACAAGCAAACAAAATAGCAAAATCTTTAAAATGATCAACAGACAGAACACAGCAGAGCTTTACAAAAAACGACACACCGTGGCCAAGTGAGGTTTATTCCAATAATGCCAGAATGTTCCAATATCAGCAAATCTATTAGGAAATATGTTTGATCAAACAAAATTTCTTGGCAAAAGAAGGAATCATTTGAAAATATTTTAGTATTATTCGGTTGTATATATCAAACCAAAGCCAGCGCTATGTTCAGTATGAAATACTGAATCATTCTCATTTAATTCAGGAACAATAAATGTGCACCTGGTAGCATTACCACTACTTACCATTTCCCTACAGTGCTAGTCAATGCGATCGGGGAAAATTTACCATTTGGGGAAGCATTATGATTTTCCTGATGAAAAATCTAAAAGGATATACACTGAAACTGCAGCCTCATGGAAGAGTTTAGCAAGGAGTCTGTTTGAAACCAGTAGCTTTCCTACATATGAACAGCAGCCAGTTGGAAACAAGAAGAAAAACAATACCGTTCCTAGTATCAACAGAACAAGGGGGGAAAACATGCCAAGACAAACATAATGAGAGCTTTGCTAAAATTATAAGAAAAAACAAACTATAGACTCTATTGGGGAAAAGAAAGAGAGGTAAAATGAACAAAGAACTAGCGCAGGGCTGCGTAAGAACAGGGACTGGTAAGCCAAACTGTGTGGTTTCAAATCCCAGCTCTCCCACATACTTACTAACTGGTTGAACTTAGGCAAGTTTCCTGTCCTCACTTTTTCTCAATTTCTGTACCCAACATGGGAATACAAGCAGTACAGTGTTGCCGAGAGAGTTGAAAAGAGCAGACCTATGTAATCTACTCAGAACCACACCCTGCGAGAAGTGGCGCTTCTCACTTGCTTATTTACTTACATAAGTCCCGCTGACCTTGCTGTTCTATAATAGGGAGACTCGCTACTGTCAGGGCACGACTTCTCAAAACAGCATCAAGTTCAACGCAATCCTGAACAAAATCATTTTTTTTTTTTTTTTTAGAGCTTAACATGCAGTTTATCTGAAGGGATAAACATTCAAAATGCAGTATGTTTGTATGTAGAATATATAAAAGAATAAGTAGAAAAGACAGAGACAAACCAATAAAATGGGTGAAAGGCTTGAACAAGTAGCTCACAAAAGAGGCTGTCAGATGGCCTGCACGTGTGTGCGAAGGTACTCAATTTCACTAGTCATCCGAGGACATGCCAAATAAGTTGACAATGAGACGACCTTCGAGTCTAGTTGGCTAAAATAGAGAAGGCAGTCCATATCGAGCGCTGGACGTGACGTGGGGCCATAGGCGCACCCACGCCCTGCTGGGGGAGTGCCAATCGACACATCCACTTTGGAAAATTGTTCGGCAGTATCTACTATGACGCAGCAGCTCTATTCTGAGCGGCGCACTCCCGAGGAATGTGTGTATGGGTGCATTATAAAGACACATGGCATTCATTATGTGGCAAAACTGAAAACACCTGTTATGGACTGAGTATTGATGTCCCCTCCAAATTTATATGTTGAAATCCTACCCCTAATGTGATGGTATTACGAGGTGGGGTCTTTGAGAAGTAATCAAGATTAAATGAGGTCAGGAGGATGGAGCCTCCATGAATGGGATCGGTGCCCTTATAAGAATCTGGAGAGAGCCTGCTTCCGCTCTCTTCCTCGGGAAGGGGACACAGTGAGAAGGTGTCATCTGTGAACCAGGAAGCGGGTCCTCACCAGACACCAAATCTGCCAGCACCTTGCTCTCAGATTTCCCAGCCTCCAAAAGTGTAAGAAATAAACGTTTGTTGTTCAAACCACCCAGTCCATGGTATTTTGTAATAGCAGCCTGAAAGTACCAAACCACCACCCAAAGGTCCATCAACAGTGATACGAATTAATAAACGAATGGAATACCAGTCAGTAATAAAGATGCATGAACTATTGCTCCATGCAAAAGCATGCATTAATCTCACAATTGCCATGTTGAGTGAAAGAAGCACAACATATTATACACATGTTATAATTATGATCCGCAAGCTAGTGCCGTGTGCTTCAGGGGAAAACACTATATAATTCCATTTATACAAAGCTGAGTAACAGGCAGGCACGATCTGTAGTGTTGGAATTTGGGACTAGGAGGGAGCCTGGGGGAAATGTCTATATGCTGAAATGTTCTGTGTCTTGACCTGGGTCTGCTCACATGGATGTGTTCACTTTGGGACAATCCATCCAGCTGTGCACTTATGATTTATGCATTTGTTACAGATATGCTAGACTGCAATAAAAATTGACTTTAAAATAACAAGAAAAACCTTTTAAAAGACTAGTAAAAAAGAAACTGCTCTATTCAAACTTAAATATACCAGAAAGCTACAATAATTACCAAGTGTTATGGGCATAAGTATAGACTGATAAAGCAATCAACCAATACAGAAATAAAACTAACCTAACAACGACCTGCACACTACACATAATGATCTTCTTTCAAGTGTTTGCTACACCAGGCTTTCTCTTTCCTCCACATTTTTCCATTCCCACCGTGACCACACCAGACCAATCTGGCTCTACTTTTATGTAACAAAGTTGTGAGTTTTCTGGTTGCCATAGATCCCCAAGCTGAAGGTCAGGCATGCCCAGACGAACCAAGTGTGCAACCATGCATGGGTGGAACCTCTGTCCCTGGATGGAGGAGTGGGGACTGAATTAAGAAGCAGACCTCAGATGTCAGGATCCAGGATCCGATCAGATCAAGCCCTGGCATTACCCACGGCAGGGCCCAGTCAGATCACGCTTCTCAGCATCACTTTGTTACAAGATCCAATAGGATCACACCTCATTACCCTATGCTTATAAAAGCAGCCCAGCCCCCTTGTTCCGGGACACCCTGTTTGGGAACTGTCTCCAGTGTGCTCCTACCTGTACCAAGTGACAAACCCCCTTGCTATAACCGATGTGGCTGTGTCGACTTAATATCCGCCAAGCAAATGAACCCCTCCGTTGGGAAGGTAACATCACCACGCCTCTTTGACTATCTATTATTCATCGTTTACAACACAGCTAAAATATGATCTGTGTGCTGGTGCCGTGTGTTTCGGAGGGTCTTGCCAGTCACTAAGTTTCAGCTTTCTCCTGCTCACCTTGACCTGTAGCACACACAGAGCCTGGCACTTGCTACGTGCTCCATATGCTTTTAGCAAACGAACTAAGAAAGGAAGGAAGGGCGGGAAGGAGGGGAAGAAATCTAAGAGGGAATTTATCATAAGTGTGCTTTTAAAAATGTATAAATAAAATAGGACTGTTCAAAATAAATAATGTAATACAGGCCTAGCAATTTTTGAAAAATATAGCTAAAT